TTCAGAAACGATCTGCCCTCATAGTCGTTGATGAATTGGCAGTTAGGCTAATTAATACATGGTGACTTGGTGAGTTTATGGAGTTTGGGTTTATTATAATATTGTATGTCTTTGTATTAAAATATGTATGTATGTATGTATTGTATATTGTATGTATTGTTTTGATCTTAAATGGAATAGTCATGTTGACAGTATCAATGTATCTAAAAGATTGCATTTTTTATATTAAACTAAACCTCTATGTTTACAAGCTTAAAATTTAAACTTGAAAATTGGAAACATGCAAATGTACGTATACGAATGCTAAAACTATGAACTATGAATTAAAACGTTTACATGTAGAACTTGCGAATATGAATGTGTTCATGTATCTATTAGTCTTAATTATTGGAAAGTCCTCAGGGATTAATGTGCAGACAGTACAGTATTTGAGTAAATTGAGTTCAAATCCGGCAATAGTGCCGCGAAGTTTGTGATTTGGATCTTCAATGATTTCTGTATCCGTTCAATGTCTTTACTCAGGTAATTTGGGATTCCGTAATGAAAAACGGGCAATGCATATTCTACTATCTCGGTCGGATGCAAGTACAATAAAAACAAATCATCTCAGCAGCGGGTACATTCGCACGTTTTAACTGACGTAAATTACAAACACTCCTTGTAAATCTTAACCATGTAATTCAGCTGAATAGCTGTATTAAGTTGGTAATTTTTTATTACTGTAAACTATTACAGTAATATATATCAAAATATTGTCGCAGAAAGTCACAGTCTATAGAATAGACCCTTTAATAAACCCTAAGACCCCTTGCCTTGCTTTATACGTTTTTCTGCCAGACAAATTCTGATTATGAATATTCATACTTGCCAAACTGAAATTTGAGAATTTAAATACACGTTGTTTGATGGTTTTACACTAAGCAAATTGAGTCATTCGAGATCGCGCCTTTCAAGAGATGTTTTTGACCCTGTTTTGAAATATAAACAAGTAGGCGGAGCTTAATCAAACACGCTTGACAATTAGTTAAAGCGGCAATCCCTCTATTTATTAGGGATTGCTCGCAGTCTACATCAACTTTATTAGGAACCCATCGTACTATATTATGGTCAGCAGACCCAAGCGGAGCAAGAATATATGGCTTGTCATAAAAATCTTGTAAATCGGTGACGATGAGATCAAGGGTAGAAGACCCCCTTGTAGGAGCAGAAACGACTTGCTTCAAACTAAGACTACGGGTTAGGTTCGAAACATCAAAATTATTAAAATCACCAAGGAATACGATTCTACAATTAGGATAACAATTCCTAATGGAATCCGTTGTGTTTATCAGATATTCATCAAGATCACGTTGTTCTTCAGCAGTTCTGCCAGGGGGGTTATACACAACGCAAACTGCAATAGCCGAGAGAGGTCTTGGCAGTCGTGTCGGGCGGATCCATAACCAAAGACATTCAAAATTCGGATTTTCAAAATCTAGTCTCCGTTGACAGGGAATGTTTTTCAAAGAATAAACGCACACACCACCGCCCCGGCTACCTGTACGATCGTTACGGTGGATATTATAGCCACTGATTGATATCAAGCTATCATCAACATCCTTGTGTAGCCACGATTCTGTTATAGCCACTAGATCCATTGGGTTACCATCCAGAAGTACAGCAAGTTCGTCGATCTTAGGCAATAACGAGCGGGCATTTATTAGGCCAAAGCTTGGAAGTGCATGAGATTTAGAACGACTAGTAGTTTCTATAAGATTATTGTGCCTCACAGATATTAAATTATTAATGTTCCGCCCATTTCGTTTTGTTCTATGTCTACGGTTGCGGTATGAAATTCTCACTGATATTGCATTAAAGGAATCAGTATACGGTGCACCAAATCCAAGTGCTGTATCCAGTCTGTCCGTCGGCGTGCATAACTCGGCCGAAAACCCTGTTGACGGTTTGCTTTAACCTTAGATGGAATACGATAGGTAATGCGTGTGGGGATAGCTTGGTTAATATCTTGTTAATATCTTGGTTAATATCTTATATCGTTGGGGATAGCTTGGTTAATATCTTGTTAATATCTTGTTTATCATGGGAATAATCATAGTTTTAAATAAGTTTAGCATATCAGTAGCCTCGTGGGGATGCTTTTAGCGACAGCTCCCAAAGCAAATGTAGTTTTAGAATAAGCAAAATTTGGTTGTTGGTGAAACAATTTAAATTTCGAGTTGTCGCGTGTAGCATAACAATAAATAAATAAATTGTATCAGTTCCACGAGGCACGACGTTTTTGATGTGTTAGGCTTGTTTCAAACGTCTCGCTACTCATGTGCCGAACGCATTAAAAACAATAGATAATGAGATGAAATGCCTTTGGTAACTGTTTATTTCGTAGTGTACGCCATCAGCTTTTCTAGGTTGTCGGCGACCCTATATAGTTCTTGCAGTGTCTTTCTCAATTTGAAACTTCACACTATCCTTGGATCCCTAGTTTTTTTCTCGATTTTATGCTGCATGATTTTTTTCTTTCTCCTTGGATTCCAGGAAATTTTTTTTCGAAATCGTCCAACCCCCTCCCCCCCCCCCTCAAAAATCAAATGGTCCGCTCCTTACGTTTCCCGTTATTACCACTATAACCACAATGCAAAGCGCTACGAAAACGTAATGAGGGGAATCTAGTATTCGAACCGTCCACTGAAAAAGTTTTCCTGCTTTGTTACATCACATTATACAACGCCTGTAATAACTCCGAATACAAGATGGCGGTATATCATCTGTATTGAATTCCTCAGTCAACTTATTTATACTATCTACAGCACAGGTAACCCAAACATATATCGTTACACCTCCTTTCTAAGTCTAATAAAGCTAAATTATTAAAGTTTTAAAAATGAAAAATGCCCATAAATGTCAATAAGCTACTAGATTACTATTAAAGTTCTAAATATGAAAAATGTCCATCAATGTCAATTAGCTACTTGTTTCTAAGATGTCAATTACCTACTATAATTTTTTTTGTTCGTTTTTTTTGTAAAAAAACCCCATTAAGATAATATACTTTATAATGAATTAAACGGATATACTAGACGCAATCAAGACATATACCTGGCAGGTCTTCTGATGACTCTGCCACTAACTTTACTTACAACTGGTGATTTCACTAATGTCCCATTAGTTTCTTCTTGTATGCTATTGCCACTTGTTTCAATTTGCTTTTCACCACATACTCCCACTGTATCATACTCACTATAAACAGGTTCTTCAATGTCTATTGTACTGGTCTTCTCTGGACTTGAACAAATTTCTTCTGAAGTCTTTAGTATATGTTTTCTATTCCTCCGGTATTCTTTGTTATTGGCGGTCACAACAAACGATCTAGGTTCTCCTTGTTTAGATTCTCCCACTAACCTGGCTGGTTCCCAGGTGTTTCCGCATCTCATCCTCACAGTATCTCCCTCCTGTAACGGTGCTAAAGTTTTACTTCCTCGGTCAAAATATTTCTTCTGGATTTTTTGCTTCTC